GTAATGCATTCAAAGAATTGTTTTATTTCCTCTATGTGTTGTACAACATGTTTCAAGTAGACTGGTAAATTAGCATTATCACAACATATTGCTTTGCATTGCTTTGTGCCATTTTGGAATAATTTATTGATGAAAATGCTTGTTACAAGTATTCAAGGGGTCCATTCAAAATAATATTTAGAGATAGTTTACCTAAAGAAATAAACAATTTTGTATAAAGCAATTTTTTTTTTATAATTAAGTTTTTTCAAGATGACAAATAATATAGATAACTTAGTAACTGAATACACCTACAAAATTTATCAAAAACTTAAGAATTTAAATACTAAATTAGCAAAATAAATTATTTTTCAATAAATATATTAATATTTCTTATGCATAAATTACATTTTAAAAAGGTTTTAACAATAAAGTGATTCCTATAAAATTTGATGAACAAGGTACTATGAAGAAGTTAGAAAGAATACAACCATGATCTAACAGAGGAAAAGAGTTCTGAAAGTTAATATGGAAATATCATATATAAATTGTAGAAATATTATTCATTATAATTTTATTCACGCAAGTGGCGAAATGAGCACCAATAATTTGCTTGCGCACAGGCTTCAAAAACAATTTTCTTAAACTGCATGATACAATATACAGTTTGTACTATTATTTAAATCTAAATACTTTGCGATAAATAACTACCAATCCTGCATGCACACACAGGTGGAAGGTTGCTGGCCACATGAAATCCGTTCAACAGGTATCCATCGGTGAATGTAAACAATAATAAATGAAATAATAGATTAAGTAATGTGAAAATTGCATACTAAAAGTTGGATACTGGGAATAGATCAATAGAGTTTAGTATAAAAAGTACCCCAATTTCTAGCCCTTCTCAAGATTGTAAATTCTATAATTTTAACAAGCTAATCAAACCTGATGCTCACAACACTTGTTCAGCATGGCCCACTCAACAAAATGTATAGTATAAAGTGGTAGGAATTGTTTTACTAGGCCACCAAGATGGAACTAAAATGTTAACTTACCTGTTTATGCAAAACTAAATCTCATACATAGTAATTGTTCAAAATCATGCCTTGAAGCAAACAACTTTATGTTCCCATGCACACCCGTGAATTCAAATGTTTTGTTTAGTAAAAAAAAAACAAGTTTGGCACCTGGTAACATTACTTTCACATATCATGTGCTTTATGTGCATAGCTCTGCAGGTCCATCATAAACTTTTCCCCTTCACCGTTTTCATCCAGGATATGCAAAGACAAAGTTAAATATCAGAAATGCTGCTTTACCCAACTGGAACTTAGTTTAAATTTATTTTATAGAAGGTATATTGTCCTGGAAATGTGTATGAAACTACTATGCTTCTGGGTATTGATTTAAACTACCATCATGTGAAAACTACACTTCTTTAAAATTGATCCACAACTAGGGTTTTGATGTTTACACATGTTGATAAGTGCCAATGATGAAGTTACATAGTTGTGTTCCAAATGGAATGCAACAAACAATTTAACTGAATAATTTCTTGTACAAATTAAAAAGGAAAAGAAACTTAAGATCATCATTTTTACTGCATTTATAGGATGTTCTCTTGATTAATTTAACCACCCCTTTAATGTTGAATGGATGTCATTTTTAAGAAAGCAAAATAAATCTTTCCTACCTTCTGTAAACAATGTAACCAAAAATGATTCCATCAAAAGTAAATGCTGACCCCATGATTTCAAATCCACACAATTTGAAAATTACTTCATATAAATTTTTTAAAATGTAAAATGTCTTGATGTCAGGTATTATAAATCTGTAACATTAATTTCATTTTTGTTTTAAAAATAATGTTGATTTATGGATTATTGCACAAAATTTGGAATTAGATTTACATGTTTGTTATTTTACTGTTTTGCTTTCCTTTAAATAAAGACAGATGTTTAAAGTGTATTATCATTTAAATACACAATTTAAAGTAAATTAAAATTGTACAGAAACCTTATTGTCTAGTGCATAGTAAATGAAATAATAATTTGAAATGCACTGGACAAACCACATGTGCTACTGGAAAGGCGATATTAAGTGAAGGAACTGAATAGCAACTGGACAATTAATTGCCTTAATGATGAATGATCAGAGTAAGTTAAATTGGTTTCCTCTTTGAGAAGAAACTTACAGTTGGAGCAAGTAAAGAAAGTCTGTGTGCATAACTGGACATTGGTAAGAAATATTTCAGTTGTACATATTTCTTTCTATGGACATATCAGAATAATGATGATGAATAAACAAATGACATATAGTATTTACACATAAAGGGCATGCTAATATGTTTTATACAGCATTAAATGGGGACAAATAATGTAATACACATGAAAGACATGATATGTTTGGTCAACTAGTTGCAGTTTAGTGTAGAGAAGTATACTAACCAATCGAGTTCAGATGCATAAATTCCTAACCTTATCTGTTTTATAATTACTTCCCTTAGCAAAAAAAAAAGCACTAAGTATCTGATCCTATGCACACACAATACAAACAACTGCTTAAGACAACATGTCTTTTTACTTCAACACATGTTTAAAAAATGTTTCCTGTAGGTTCAGGTGACAAACTCCATGGATAAAATCAGGCATCCAGCACCTCTTTCCACCAGTCAACAACTACTGGCAACATGTTTTATGCTCAAAGATTGCCAGCATCAGCAGAGAAACATAGCCTAAAGTATTTTTGAATATGTATACGCAGGTAATAAATATAAATCCTGATTAAAAATGAAGTATGTAGGAAATTAGACTGTCCCTGCTGACCTGTCTAATTTCTTCCTTTTAACTCTTAGCCAACAAGTTTTTTTTCTGACTAACTTAAGTTCTGGTGCATGAGAAATGTAAACCAACTTACCGGTATATCTATTTATTGAAGAATGATACAAACATGCCTCTATACTTCTTAATATTGTATCTCCAAAAGTGTTATTTTTATATTAACAATAACTAATATGTGCAATAAAAATGGACCATAAACAAAGTAAATGAAATAGCTAATTTTGAAAAGCCCAACATAACGGCACTTAGTCTGATCAAACCCATTTAAAAAAAAACAATATATTGGCACACTAAAAAAAAAAGAGTTTTACATCCAAATAGAGTGCTTCCTATTAAACTCTTTTGACTCAAACTGAATGTTTAAAAATTACTAAAATTCTAAATGTGATTAATTTTTGTTAAAACTCTCCATCAGATAGTCCCATTTTACCAATACAATTCCACTTTACCCCCTCTATAGGAACCATTGCATTAAAATGACTGGATTTGAACATATTTGCAGCAGGAAGTCTTTCATTGTATGAACTGAATGTTTGCTATTGCTGTTATTGACAAGTGGTACCAGTATTTTTCTCTTGCATTTGATTTAAGGAAGAAATCTACCCTGAATAAAAAGAGAGACAATCTTACACAGGCAAAGAGGTTTCACACAAGTTTTAGTACTTACAATGGATTTAGCACTTATACACTTTGTACAACTTTTTAAAAAAAGTGAGACAATGACCAAGAATTATTGACTCGTTAATTAGGCACGATCAATGATGCTTTGATGTGTATTAAAAAAACAGGGATCTACGTTGATTCATTGTACTATTAACTAGATTTTGATATTCATACTAGCTGAAACACATATTTACTTTCATCTTTTGATAATATTAAAAGACGGAATCTGATCGCATTCTTCCCCTTATTTTACTTAAAAGTCAAATGATGTACTAGATTATTTTACATGCAACAATTCAGAGTTTTAAAAACAAGTATTTCTAATTACCTTTTGCCTCATCTATTTTGATTTATTTAAAACAAAACTATTTAAATATGATTAGATTTTAAGAAATTAAAAAAAGTAATTGTTTATGCTAATGTAATGAATGTATCAGGAAAAAGCCATTAAATCTATTTTTCCAGGACTTAAAAACTAAAGATTAAAATTAAGAAGAAACATAAAGATCAAAGAAATATCTTGACATCTAGAAAAAAAATTTTGAGGCAGACTTTTTTTCAAAACATTTTTACATCGTATAAAAGCATATGTTCCATACTAGTATTGTTATGAGTATAATCTGCAAAAATACCAAAAAGTAACAAAAGGTAGGGAAATATCTTAATGGACATCTGAGTGCATGAACTGAAAATTGTCTGATGGTATGGTGCGGATGGACTTCAAGAAAAGACATAAAGTTATTCTACAATTAGAAGAGGTGGTCTAAATACAACCTTAAGCCATGGAGATGGATGGCAACCAAATGAATGAGCCTCAACAAGGTCAAGTTTTTTTGTTTTTTTTTACATTGAAAACAAAATGTTATTTGTATAAAATGAACCATGCATTCATTAAAAAAAAAAAAACCAACCCAACATACTAGCCCATACAGAAATGATTTGATCGTTTGCTCTGCAAAGCTGGAAATAGAAGGGAAACAAAACAAAGATGATTTCGCAAGGATTTGTATAAAATAAACCATGCATTCATTAAAAAAAAAAAACCAACCCAACATACTAGCCCATACAGAAATGATTTGATCGTTTGCTCTGCAAAGCTGGAAATAGAAGGGAAACAAAACAAAGATGATTTCGCAAGGCCAACTGTTCTTGAAGGCATGTAAAGTTTCTCAGTTGAATACAGTATAAAAATAATTTTATCTGGCACATTTAGCAAATGAAAGCAATTAATAAAATTTTTAAACCCCCCTCCCCCTCACCAAATTCTAAAATTTCCCCTAATTAAAAAAATATATAACAAAAGTAACATATGAAGCACACATTAATTACATAAGTGAATAAAAAGTTTCATTTCCATTTTGAAAGTTATCAACTATCGGCATACAATCAAACTAGATCTTAATGAAACATGTTTTTTTCTTATTTGAAATTCCATGATTAAATCTCTGCCAATTCTGTCTCTGCATATAAGCTTCATTCATGCAACATTCCCCCCCCCCCCTTTTCAAAGGCCTCATGCTAAGAAACAGTGTCATGTAGATCTTTGAAAAAAGCATGCACAGCCTGAAAGCCCCTCTTGTCTATTTGCATCCTCACATTTTCCACCTCCTTAAACAGCTGGTCACCACTAATGTCCTCTGGTAATTTGGTTAGGAACTGAGCCACATGAATGAAGTCCATCTTGAGCAAAATACTTTCATAGATGTTGAGAATAGCTGAAGAAATACAAGACCCATTTAAATGACCTTATTATCATTTAAAAATTAAATAATTTTACTCCTGTCAACCTACAAGGGAAAGTCATAACTTGCAAATACTTATACACAAATTTGAAATGTCCAACTGTTCAAGCTGTTTTAACCTCTTTTAAAAAATCTTTTCAAACTTATTTTTCAAAGAAAATATATACAAATATTGTAAAATGAAGGTTTGGATATTGTCCCCATTAAAGATTTTAAAATTATATATGCTCCTAATGCTTATAAACATAGTTATATCCATCAATTTTTGCTCAGTTATTTTCAGCTATAAGTATATTTGAATATTTGTTTCATGAAAAAACAGGTCCAAAGTGTTAATAAAGTATTATTATTATTTTTTGGACATATTGGAAGCATGCTGGTAAATGATTTAGCTTGCAAAAATGGATTTTCCTAATACTCTCTATATTAGGAAGTGAAATTTACCATCATGCGTAATTGAAGGTATAAGATGCAGACAAGTTGTGGTTACTAATATCCTTTGATAAGTCTTTTTAGACTTACAATTTGCAAGCACAAAAAGATGATAGTCTTTAAAAATACAATTGTATTATCTTTTACATTCATACAAACATAGTTTAAAAAAGTACTGGGAGGAATGTGCGTGTTCCCCACCCCCATAATTGTAATAAGTACAAAATTGATGCAAAGGCAATTCCTAAATATTTTCATTTCCTTAGCTTACCGATAGCGGTTTTAAAGAGAAACTCTTCACCATCTCTGAAGAAGATGTCCCAAACTCTGCAAGCAACATCTAATGGAAGAGATTTGCCGTATAGCAAAAAAACCCTGCAGACAAAAAATGAATCATGAATTTATTCAAATTTATATTTAAAAAAACAACAAAACACTAATCATTTTTTTATATACTATAGAAATACAATAATAAAATTTACCAAGCTAGATGAGGCATATAATTTGAAATGCATTCAAGCTGATTATGTGCATAAATATTTCATTTCTAAACTATTTTTAAACATAAAAAAAATAAAATAAGAACATACCATTCCATGAGATACAGATTAGGCGTGACACTATGAATTTTGAAATGAGCATAGAGGTTAGGGAGGTTTTCTTTGAAAAATTCCTCAAATGTTCTGTAATAAGCAGTCATCTGTAAAAATTATTTATTTCTTTAATTTTATAATCTACAATGAGAAAAAGTATAATTAAATTTTAAAAATTCAAAATAACCTAAACCTGGTTATCATCAAATCATTTTTGAGGAATCTATTTAAAATATAAGAGATATATATTACCAAAGTTTCATCCATTCGAAAAAATGCCAGTTGGCATGGTCGGTTGAGCAAATTTGCAAAGCACACAAAGGCATCAGCAACATCCATATTAAGCAATAAAATGGCAGCAATAAAAGACATGCCTTGAACCTAAATGAACATTATTTGAAATGTGAAAATCTGGCATTATCTATTATTGTCTTTAAATGTATCAATAGGTTATACAATTTCTACATATACAGTTTTGAAATACATAATGAACTTAATGATTTATATTTACCCTTGTAAAAACTGCTTAGGGACCCACATTAATTACATTTTTTAAAATTGTGATGTTTAATTTTTTTTTCGCTACTTACATAGCCAACATCAGGCCTGTAACAGGCATAAGCACCCAGTAAACTGTGCAGCAGGTCATAAAATGGACCTCCCTGTGGAAGAAACATGAAAGGTAACATCCCATGTTCTTTACAATAATACTATTTCATAACTTCTTCATTTAAGTTTCAGTCCTAACAAGACAGTCATTTCAAATAAACCATTGGAGTTACAGCATGCCTGTTCAATATTGTACAGCAAGGAAACAAAGTATTATATTTTGATCACTGATACACTATTGACCTTGGGAAAAAATGGGAAAATCATTTGAATTACTTGACATTGAAACTATTTTTAAAAACTGGCATTCAATATCTAGTTTACTGATTATGTCTAATCAGATATTTAGCCACAAATTAAATGTCTTGTGCCATTATAAGTCAGAACTAGAACTATATAAATAAAACGAGAAATACAATTTGATTCTCTCACCTTCTGGAATATACATAGCTGAGGGAATGTTCTAGAAACATCAAGCTTAATTACTTTTACGCTTGATTCCTTGTTGGACGGTTCTTGTTGGCAGGAAGAACCTTGTCAGAGAAATTGAAGTCAGTTAGTGCACGAAAGATAGGATAAGATGGGCAGTGGGAAATTACTGATACCGATTGTCCTATCTATTGTGGCCTAAAAGTAGTCAAACAAGGGGTTTGAGATATGCTAATGCTCTTGGGTACTAAGATCTTCACTTGTTTATTTTTTAATAAACTATGTCCCAGGAGAACATAGAACACTTCATGACCTTCAATTGAAAGCTAAGAATAGTACCACCACTAGTGAGGAATAGGAAAAGTTAAATGTGAGGATGCAACATTTTAAGCTTTTTACCACCCTCAAGTCCCACCCCTCACGAAGATTCCTAAAGCTGAAATTAGATTTAGGTACAATTACCGCTGATAACGTAAAAGGAGCCAAAAATGAGCGGTAAAATTGCACAAAAACATAACATGACTAAATGTGTGAAAAGATGCTTTTGGCAGATGAACAGGCAATTCCAAACACTCTGACATAGCACTGCAAGACTTCAGGACACTGACAAGTCAAGGTTTCCTTGCAAGTGTGAAAGAGCTGGCCTACTGCTTATCTGATTGCAAAAATTGGCCAGGCATCACCCACTTGCCACTCACCAGCAAAGTCTTCTACAGCATTATACTACAATGAATGACAAATGCTGTGGAGAACATGCTCAGAGAGGAACAGGTGGGCTTTAGAGAGGATGCAAATCCCTATGCATGCCAAGTAGGTTGCTGACCCCTGATCTACTCAAAGAATCACTTTGGAAGATTTTAAAACACTATAGCATTCTAAGAAAATTAGTTTTGTATTAACTATTTTCTCTTTAAGACATTTGAATGTCGAGTTCTCAACAATGGCCACCTGGCTGAACATTTCAAAGTTATGACTGAAGTGAAGCAGGGGTGCATTCTCTTATCGCATAGGATAGCTATCCGGCAGGTATAAGATACTTAGGAAAAGACAATGTCAGGAAAAGAGATCATGAGAAACAATGCCATAATTGGAGATACAATCACTGTTAACAACAACCAACTGGAAGGTTATGACAAATTTTGAAACCCAGGTAGAACAGATCCCAGATGGTGATTGTGACTGGAAGATATGAACAAGTTTGAGACCTTAGGTAGAACAGACCACAGATGGTGATTGTGACAAAGAATCAATGTAAGGATCAGTGAGGCAAATCAGGCATTTGGATTGTTGACTCAATATGGAGGTTGAGCAACCTGAGCTTCCCCACAGAAAAATATTGAAGGATCAGTGGACAGCAGAAGCAAATAAACAGTACGCCTAAAGGTAGTTAAACAAGGGGTCTGAGAAATGCCAATGCTCTCTGGGTATTTAAGATCTTCACTTGTTTATTTTTAATAATAAAACATGTCCCAGGAGAGCATAGAACATTGACCACTGCTCAGAGAACCAGTCGGTGCATGAGGACAGAATGAACGAATATGATTATAAATTTTACAAGTGTCCCCTTCCAAATCTTCTGAACACCCCAGGTTTAAAAAAATGTCTGTTTACATTGTTTGTTTTCAGCTTCATATAAAAAAAAAATTACATAACTTTTACACAACAGTAATAAAATCTTTTATTTTTTTTACCTTCTGAACCTAAAGTAGTCTCATCTCTAACAAACTTGATTCTCTCCTCTGCTCGTTCATGACAAATATTATAGAGTGCTGAAACAGGGATAAATACACAATTTTTATTTCATTTTTTAAATGGCTGCAAGGAAATATGATATTTAAAAACATTTCTTCTTATAAAAATTGACTCATGATTTTGATGAGGCCAAAAATAAAACACATTTATTTACTATTGAAGATTGGTCAAAGAACACAACTTACATTGAGTTGTGATAAACATTCATGTAAAAGGCTAACCACAAAAATTATTATTTTTGTTTGCTGGCAATTTAAATTATTAGTATTAAGTGTATGACTAAAACAAGGGAGAACCTGAAAAAAAAAAAAAGAAGCCCTAAATATTAACAAAAAAAATAATGATAACTTACCATGTGTGATATTCAGATCATTTCCTATGGCTAGCTGCCAAACTCGTCCTCTAACATTTGGGGGCAAGCCAAGCCACCACAAGTCTCTGCACCTTTTACTGTGACGCCTGTAACGTACAACCATGCTAAATGAGTAAGGTTGGCAAATGCTGTCATGAATATTATGTTTTTATTATAAACAAAAATATTAAATTAAATACATTTGATTGAGATATATATTGCAAGTAGTACCATAATAATTTATGTGCATTCTAATTATATATAAAATTCAATTATTTCCCTTTCATGTGCTAAAAGCTTATAATATTGACAGAAATTTTTCACTTACAAATTATGGATCTGTAAAGAGTTATAAATTAATGAAATTTCATCACTAACAGTCAAAACTTTCTTGTCACTTAAGGCAAGGGTGATCAAATTTTGCAAGTGTCTACTGCCATGTAGCAGAACAGCACAAGACATTTAACATTATGAGGTAATACATAGCATATAAACTTTAGGGGCTCTTTGAGACTTAGATGGGGGTCCCAAGCTTTTAAAGATGAACCAGCTGTTTATCCCTTATGAGCTCTACATGTAAGAAAACACTTCAGTCAATATATTATAAAATCTTTATTTTGATTAAAAAAAATTTTTGCATTAAAAAAATCAATGCCACCAAAGTGGAATGCAGTTAATACAAATGTCTATGAATAACAAATTGATAATGGAATAAGCAAAGTAACTTCTAGCAAAGTAAAGTGAACTTCTTTCACAAGAGCAAGAGTTACACTCCTTGTTAAACTGAGATATAACATCTATTGTATTACTACATATACTTGTTCTTAAGCTGACCTGTTTTGAAAATATTTCACGAGAGTAAGTGGGGTGGTCGCTTAATGAGCCGCACATATGAGATTAAAATTTTTTTTTTCTCCAGGTACATTAAATAATGAAATTGTTATCGCAGATTACATTGTTTAGTTGTGTCCTATTTTTAGATTTTCCCATACTTTGTTTTGCTAATTTCCTTGCAGATCACAGGGGCCTTAGTCTACAAAATTCATTATATTACTAGAAGCTTTAAATATTAATAAATATCTGCACTTACATTAATTATTTATTTGATTTGTTTTTTTATTAAAATAAAATAAAATATTAATAATGTCTTATTTAGCAAATTTGGATTTCAAAAGCATTTCTAATTCACATGCATCTTAAATATTCTTTAGTATTGTATTTCATACCCTGGCATATCATTTTATGGGTTCAGCTTATGAGTGGGTTCTAACAGGACATATAAGATCCTTGGTTATTTAGCCTGCATCAGAATGTAGTGCAGGAGTCACCAAGCATGGGCCAAAGCACTACTACATATTTTTTGTCTATAACATGTAAGCAAAACTGGCCCACCCCCTCATTTATTTGGATGTGACATGTGAGTTATGAATTTATTTTTAAATAATTACTTTTCTTTAAACTTTCAAAGTATGTGTAATAATATCAGTGGTGTAAATAATCATATATACTATAAGGGTACTCTTATAACTTTGCATCAGCATGTTGTTAGATGTTTTTTATTTGGCAGTGCTGCCACAAATATAAATATACCTTAACCCTCAGCCAGTCATCAAATTTACCATTTAAAACAGTTCTTCTATCTGAAGTACAATGGAAAAGCCAAGAGCATTTGCGAAACATTTATGCTCAATTATATTTATGTCACCCTGGTTTAAGGCATTAATAATAGATTATTAGCTGGCACCTTGCTAAGTTTAGGGAAATACCTGACTAAATGAGTGTCCCCACCCTTTTGTAATGTTTTCAAGTCGGCCCAAATTTAAAGACAATTTTTTAGTATACTTTAACCTCTTCAAACTAGATACATTTTAAAAAAGGATTCTGAAATTATCTGTCATGTGATACCACATTATACACATGCCTTTCTACTAAAAATTTGTGAATGTCCTATTCTGGGTGTGAAATTGAAAAAATTAACTTAAGCGTAAGGCTAGTTAAGCAAAATACATTAAGGAACATGTTCCCTACTCTCAATTAAGTTTTTCTATGCAAAGATTTTACTAATTGCTTTTCGGACCTTATAAAAAAAAAAAAAAAAAAGTTTCCCAAACCCCTGCTGTAGAAGACTAAAGATTAACATAAACAGCACACTCACACATTCCATTTGAAAGAATTTACTCACGTAGATTCCCAATTGGGTAAGATTTCTGTGTCCCACATACGTGCGGCAGCCATCATTTGATCTTCCATCTTTCTTTGCAATTGCAGCTGTTTTTTTTTCTGCTTAATATCTTTGATTTCTGATTGAAACATCATTGAATTCAAATAAATTTTCAAGCTTAGATTTTGCAGAACTAAAAATAATTATCAGTTTAAACAAAAATTTTTTTTATTAAAGAAGGCAAGAGCAGAGACAAGTTATTAACAGATTAATGATTACCTTTCTTTTTAGCTGCTTCCACCATGACCTCATATTGCTGCCTATGTTTTTCTGCCTCCTCTGGACTTTTAGAAGGAAGGTTTCTAAAAATTACATCCAATAAATATTTATTTTTCTATATCACTGATTAATAGAAAAAGTATTTAGCCTAAAACTAATTTATATATAAAATTTATATATAATGGAAAAGAATATTTAAAAACTTATGTCTTTCTTATCATGAATAGAAAATAAATTACATTGGGCGATTTTCCAATATCAAAGCAGTAGTTGACATGACTTCCACATCTTGTTTTTTAAGTGGAAAAGTTGGTTTCTCAAGTTTGCGCTGACGAGCTTGGAATTCAGATGTTATTTCATGAGGGTCACGAGGTAAGGCAGACTTGGGAGGTATTCTTCCAAATAGTTTCCACCCAGGAGGACTTTCTTCTTTCACTCGCTTAGAGAATAAATTTCTTGACAAACAAAAGAAAAAAAAAAAAAAGAACAAATAATGTATGAAGTTTCTATAATAAGAATTAAATCTACATACAAGGTTTGAATATCAAAATACGAGACAAATAAAAAATTCATAATTTTAAAAAGGAGCATAAATTTGGAATTCTCATTTGGATAAACACATAAATTTTATGTGTGCATTCACAAAATACAATCAACATTCTTACTTGAGACTTGTGAAGGACTTCTTTTTAGCTGCCTGGAACTGAGGTGCCCTTTTATCACCATAACCACTGTCCAGTGAAGAGGAGTTATAGCCTTTATCAAATGAATTTCTTGAGTGCAAGTTGATGTCCATGAACATTGATTCATCTGTGGGATTGCTGTTCTCCACAGAGTAATCTTCAGTTACTGACACAGCAGAAACGGAGAAATCTGTGCCTGTGCTGACACTTGATAGACTAGAATTGTCCGCAAATAAATATTGGCTTGGCTCAAAATTGTGATGAAATCCAGGAAAACTATCCACACTGTGCAAGGTGTATCTGTCACTTTCTGACACATAGTGAAACTCTTGAGCACTGTGTGCCTTGTGCATCGGGGAATGTGGGCTTAAAAGCTCACTAGAAGACAGATCTAAGGTAGAACTTGCAGATTCTGACTCATTGCAAGAGTAATCTCTATCTGGTGTATATAATAGTTTAAAATCAGTATGTACATTTGGTGAATCAGTAAGTAAGGGTTCTGGTGAGGCACCATTACTTTTAACAAGCTGCTTAGTTGTTGGTATGTACAATAATGGTAAAGAAATATTTTCTAAAACTTTTGAGAATCTTGCACTGGTGCCCAAGTCAACAGGAAAATCATCAGTCAATGTAGCTGAAGGCATCACTTTACTATACTGCGGGAATGAATTATTCTTTGCATCACTTATGCAAGTACTCACTGATATTGAGCGACAGCCATTGCTGGAAGAATTCTGTTCACTTTTTATGACAATTTTATTTAAATGATTGTCTAAAGATGTTAAGTGACTGTCACTAGATTCAAATTCTAAAGTGTTATCACTGGAGACTGACAAAGAAGCATCTGCATCTTCAAAATGATCCTTTGATCTAACAGAGAAAGGGAAATGGCTTTCTACATCAACTCCCAATCCATGTGATGTTGAGGATTTATCCAAGTCATTGTTTACTGCATAGGAACCATCTGTATTTCTTAAATCAGCCAAGCACACAACTGGATTTTTCCCTTTGATCTGACTTTTCAGAGCATCTACATCTTCAAAGTTGATGGAAACGCCATTCAAACAATCTGTTTCACCATTACAGATCCCAGGACCTGGGGAATCTTTTCTTTGCTCACTCATTACTTGAAATCTCATTGTACTTAGCATTTGAAATGTTGTGGATGTAAAAGGTTGAGGAAATGATTTTCCCATGATTGTTCAATTTGCTTTTAGAAAACTGCATGATACCTTTTAAATCAGCATGTATTAACTCTTGTTTAACATCCCTTGTGCAATTGCCCCTCCTGCATCAAACTAACGAAGATGAAACAATGGCCTGCATGGTACTTCTGAAAATGTTTAAAGTATATTTGTTATATTTTGTGTATTTCATTTTTAATTTTAAAAAGAATCCATTTATCTTGAAATTAAGACATGATTGAATTAAATATAAAAATAAAATGATAGTTGGTAGTTAAAGATCTGACATTATTGACAGCTATACATTATACAAGCAGTAGTCATGAACTTAAAAAATTATATCTTAACCCATTATTTTTTGGCCCTTTTATCTGAGCGAGCGGCCTACATTTTTAGTCTGTTGTAGGTGTAAGATAAAAATCATGGTCAAGGATGAATTCCCATTTGTTTTTCTTTTTTAAGCTAGTAAATTTAGATTCGATTTTAATTAAAATGTATGCAAATGTTTATATTTAATATAGGCCTACATTTTATTGATCACATGGAGTTTATGATGCAAAAAAATGAAACACATTGTTCAGGTCACATGTAATTATTTACAAACACAGTGATTGGTTTTTGGATTCCACAACAAAGTGATATCTTTGCTGCACCTTTACCTGATGGATGGATTGAGTCTGAGAGCAGTGAATGAGTAAATACTGATAAATTCACTATTCATGAAGCCATAGGCCTATTCACTCACACTGACTCTAAACTAAGAGTAGGCTAATTACTAAATTTTGAGTTTATTTATTAGTAAAATAGGCCTTTAACTTTATTGAACAACTGATGAAATTTAAATGACCATTCACATTTTAGGCACTTTGGTAAAGCAAGGGAGACTACTTCAAATTTGAATGAGAAATGGGTTTAAAATTTTTGGATCTTCATAACTTTTTACAAATGAAAGGCCCTTTTTGTCACCTAATTGTGGTATCGGGCCCCATGTTCATTGTAGCAAAAATCTTGGCCTACATTTCAAGATGTTTTGCTTTTTTAATCGACTTAAATTTTTAAAATTTAAGGTCAATGTAAGGCATCTTTCCGCAAAAAGATTAGGTCGAAATTTAACTTCTGTATCTTTCATATAAATTCTGTACCAGCAATATATATTGAATTATTTATATGCAAACGCTCATTGCCCTATGGTGTGCCCTGCTCCCTTGTCGAAACCGCCCTCGCCCAATTCCACATGTTTTATATTAATTATAATTAATAGCATTGAGTCTGAGTGAAAAAAGTCTGTCATCCATAACATGTCACGTGAACTCTTTTTTCTTTAGGGGACGCAACTGTCTATAGGCCTATTTCTCAAAATACAAGGATCCGGTGTAAAAAAAACCTGTTAATTATAATTTTCTTTGAGAAATCTTTAATTAATTATTCATATGCAAAATTTGAAAGTATAAAATAGGTAGTCCTGTATTTATTTATAGTTTATAGGAGTAGGTGGATGTGTTTCTTTATATTTAATTATATAAATTAGGTACCTCGAAACCCCTCGGCGCATTGTTATGGACATGTAAAATGAACTCACAAGAAGTACTAAAGCTAGAAAGTTATTCTAGTTTCACTTTTTTTAATTTGAAGTTTACTCTAACTCTCTACAACTGTAACTAAATGAATGCTAACTTATTAATTTTATTTGCTTGTGCCTCTAACTCAAGTCAAAAAGTAATGAATGAATGGGAAAAAAACCCCACGCACTATCCAACTTTATAAGGATCAACATGGACCATATGAATTAATGAACAAGTATATAGTTTATAGATTGATAGACCTACTTGCCCACAGCCGCAACATTTTTCATTACCGAATGTTTTGTTATTAAATTGGACTGGTTAGGCAGCCATTTCTATGCTAATTAGGGGGAGTAAACTTTACTCAAGTAAAGCTAACAATTTTGTATATTTCGATTATGAAATAAAAATATTATCTAATAATTGTATTTACCTTGTTGTGCTACAGATATTTTGATTTTTTATTTATTATCTGGAGTAAATAATATTAACATACTATTTCAACATTAAAAATAAATATATATGTTATGAATGTATTTAATAATAGAAAATATTCAGGGAAATCTAAATAATAAATTAAGCAGCATTTAAAAAAAAATTACCCAGATAGTATGAGTATTGCATGGCAAAAGCATAAAAAATTTCAATAATTACATTTATCAATTAATTTGAAACACATGATAACAAAACTTTTTTGAAAACTTGAATATAATATAATAATTAATTTTGAATTATTGAAGTTTACACATGAGGACTGAATCCAGGTATTTAAATGGCATATTTCATACACTGATTCGTCCTTTAAAAAAATCAAAAGTGCAGAATCTAATAAAGCTTCAAATGTTTTCTATCTATATTTTAACAAGATACAATTTTATAACTTAATACATATTTATATATAATGATATATATAACTGGTAATAGTGATTTCTTGTATCCTTGATTAATTTATTATTCAATTTTAGATCACCAGTGCAAAAAAAAAAAGAAAAAATGAGCTTCTTATTCTTATGAAATGTCGAGAGCCTTAGACTAAACATTTCTTTCCAAAGTTTAAAAATTATAATCGAACTTTAGATAGAAAACAATATGAACTTGAAACTGCTAGTAGCCGTTGCCATTGAATTATCCACCGCACAGTTTCACCTTCTCAGTTATTCTTTACTATAAAATGCTAAATCAAATTAAGTAGGCCTATTATCCAACACATTATGATCACCCTTAAATAGAAGATTCAACAGTACGGTAATCATAATACCCTGCCTACTAATACTAACTAGGCCCAAAATAATTTAGATGTAGACGTAGACGGTAGAATTTAACTTTTCAGGGTCCATACTCCTACTACTACAAACTTGCCTAGCCATTAGTCTATATTTACATTTTTCCTGTATATTTAAAGTATAAATACTACTAAAAAGGAGTCCAACACCCAGTGCAAGTAATTAAATACGTTTAGTAGGGTCAGGGGTTCCATAGACTTTAAACTTAATGAATGATAATTTCATAATCTGATTTAGTTAACTTTATTATTGGTCTTGCTTATTACTAAGACTAAGTGTAATTAGTAGCCTAAATTATAATTATAGAAGAAAGTTACAGTACTAACTATTGTTAAAAGTCAAAGGTGTATTAGTTAAACTTAGTTGTTAGACTTTTGTCTTTATATTATTTTTTTTTAAAACAATAATAATAACTACAGTAATAATAATAATAGGTTATAGTGAGTAGGAGGTCTAAACTAAAAGTTAGACCTACTCGACTTAGTAGTAATACCACGAGATAGATTGATTTGATTTTGAAATATGCAGGTTAGGGCACTGAGTATAATGAATAATGTTATTGTTAGTTAATGTCAGTAGTCAGTAGGGTGCAAATATATTTCTAAACCTTAACCTGCGACTATGACATATATTAGGGTGACCAAATCATTAACTGGAAAAAACGGGACATACCCAAGGAGGGTTTGGGGGATATCCTCCTGCTAAAGAGGGGTCTGGGGGGCTCCGCTGGAAACTGTTTATTGAAATATGCTCCTTTTAACTATTTTGAAACCTAGAAATTTAAAAAAAATTAATCTTCTCTTTTTTAATTTAATTTAAACTCTGAGGCGTATCATAATCGAAAACAATAATTTATACATATTTTTCAACATAATACAACACAAAAATTAAATTTCTCTAGTTTAGGATTTTAATGGAGGATATTTGGCTGTTGTCCCAGCCATTGTTAAAACCTCCTTCTAATATAGTTAAAACTAGAAAGAAAATGTGTTTGGTGTCAGAATCGGGACATTTAGGTGTCCTGAGAGACTTTTTTCAGGACACCAGGTACGATTGTGAAAAAACGGGACAATCCCGTTTTTATGGGCTGTTAGGTCACCCTAATATATATACTATATCATAACGACTTAAGAATACAATTAAATTTTGTTTGAATCAAAAACTGAAATAACTAAAACAGTATAACTGTTTCCCCCCAGTGCCAAGAGTATGACTACAGAAAAGTACAGTAAGTACAGTAAATTATAAGTACATTAGAGCATTGACTTCCAAACTAACTGGGACCAGAGGTTTTTCGGACATTGATTATTTTGGTAATCTTCAGAACGGCTGTCCAGTCCCAAATGTCAAATTCAAATAGATTAATTTTCGTTACAAAGTGCCAGACCACCAGCCTAATAGCCATGAATAATTGGTGACGTAATTGTTTACTTTTAATTTTGTCCGCAGACTACTTATTGCTTGTAAAAATAATATAAAATGGCCGGCTGATCGCAAGCGCCAGTTCATATTTTAAATAATATTTTGACGGGAAACATTCTGCAAACTTATGACACAACACCAAAGGCACCGTATGACAGCATCCATAACAGCATGCTTTTGTTAGTGTGGCTTGCTGAACACCGTCTTATACAAAATAGCAATCTAACAGAGATAACTTTTGTTTCTCTCTTGCTTTTGTTCTTTCTTTTTGTTCTTTTTTTTTCTTCTTTTTTTTTTCTTCAGGAGATGAAGCTGAAGAAGAGGCTGATGAAGATCTTAATCTTCAAAAAATGCATAAATTTAAATAGGGCATAGACATTAACAATTACATCACTAATTATCAGAAGCTTATTGGCTTGTAGCCGGGCACTTTCTAACCAAAAGTATTTGAAATTTGGGACCGTCATTCTGAGGATTACCATTTTTTTTGTAACTGATCACTGCAACTGAAAGGTTGCACCAAAAAAGTTAGTCGAAAGAAAAGAAAATATTCTTACCTTATAGTTATAGACTTATGTTGCTTTGTTGTAGTGTTTTAACAATTTTTTTTGCTTGAGGTCCACTTCTATTTTAACATTTTATTTAGCTCTGTGGCCTCCTTCCCTGTTATTAATATTACAAAACTACTCTCCCTGTTATTAAAAAAATACTCTTTTTTTATATATATATATATTAGAGACCGACCGAAAGGGATTTTCTGATTTCGGCCGAAGCCGAAAATAGGCCAAAAGTTTAAAATGACTTTCGGCCGAAGCAGAAACTGAAAATCAAATATTTAAATATTTAGAAATTCGTTCCCGCATACATTCTGCTAACATCGAAAATGATGGGCGAAAGTATAAATATTTACATTCTTTTTATAAAAAATGAGATAGTCGTGAATATTATTAAATATACATCTAATATAGGGGTCTGAAACTCGCGGCTGGCCGCTAGTCATTTGTGACCCGCAAGACGATATTTTGCGGCCGCTACATGACAGCAAAGTTTAGTGTTAATGCGCCGGCGCGTTTTCCCCATTCTCATGTCTATAACGTGACTCTTCTCGGCGGTTTCAGTCGAATCTCACCGACTAGTCTAATTCTAATTTTTTAAAATGTTTCTATATATGATGATTATAATGGTAAGATCCGTTTTAAACTCGGAATAAAAGTTTTTATTTTATAGCTTTTTATGAGACAAACATGGCAAAGAGTGCGGCTTTGAGAAAAGTTTTTAAAAGTAAGTTGGCGGGTAATGCACAACCATAATTGTGTAAATCATAGCGATCTGATACATTATCAAAGGATCCATATTAAAATTGCCGCTAGTGTTTACGATTGAGGTAAATTCCGAGCCTGTCAGCTTGGTCACTTTCTAAATCTTCTTCTTATGCCTTTTACCCAAGCTGAGTCTCTCCATTTTGTAGACTTCAAAACACAGACAGCCACTTTTCAGCTTTTTGCTGACCCTTTCTCCTTTAATGTGCAAGATGCCCCACACGGGGAGCTGAATGGAAAAATAGACAAGCATGGACATTTTATTGCATTGCCCTCTACCTTCCTTGAAATTTTTGGTTGTTCAAGCGGAACATACGACTTTTTGGGATTACCTATCTGTGTGAATAGCTCTTTTCCACTATGCACTTTAACAAGTCAAAGTTCAGGACCAAGCTTACTGAACGGGATCTTCAAGCTATACTGAGAGTCTTAGTTGCTTCCTCAGTCAAGCCAAAGTTGCTCAGCTGTGTAAAAAGAAGTGATGCCAGCTCTCTGGCAACAGTGAGTAGGTGGAAGAAAGTGAATCCTAGTTCTTGAGAACCCTTAATGTTTTTATTGTTATTTATAAAGGTTGAGCAGATTGTACCAGTTGTAATCGCTTTTTTGTGGAATACTTGATGCGGCCCACTCTCACTCAGACACTACCTCCTGCGGCCCCCCTGATGATTTGAGTTTGAGACCCATGATCTAATGAATACTTAGGATTTTACCATTTTAATATAAAAGTAATTTAAATTGCTTTAAAATTAAAAAAAAAAATTAGTATGGTAGGAGAAAATTTGTAAAAATGGGGAAGGGGGGGGGGGGGGGCAAAATTAATACAAAATAGACTCTTGGGTGCCTTTGTTTTTATAATTACAACCTAGAACATATACCTACAAAAATTATTGTGGCTCTAATAGAGCCAATTGGTACCTAAATAAAGGTTATTGAGGCTATAAAAATATCACCACAATGTTTCGCTGTTTTCGTAATAGTAATGCTTTGTGTTTTCATTAATAGCTTGCAAGATATCACTGTATTAATATTCAACCTCTTAAAGATCGGTTAGTTTGTTCATAAAGATCGCCTGGTTTGTTGTTAAAGATCGTTTAATTTGTTGTTAATGATTGGCTAGTTTGTTCATAAATATCGGTGAGTTTGTTTTTAAAGATCGCTTAGTTTGTTCTAAAAGATCGCTTAGTTTAATCTTAAAGAGCACTTAATTTGTTGTTAAAGATCGTTTAGTTTGTTCTTAAAGGTCGCTTAGTTTGTTGTTAAAATTCGTTCAGTTTTTTGTTAATGATCGCTTTATTTGTTTTTAAAGATCGGTTAGTTTGTTC